AATCAATGGCGTGGTGAAACCTTCTACTAGTAACCATAAAGGAAATACAGGTCGCACATGGTCCCAGACATATCTGGAGGTCAATTGTGTATTTCGAAATGAGGTGAAAATTACAATACAAACAAATTTATTAACATATTTATAATTTCATCGATCAATATCTAGTGAATTCGCTCACTAATTTCTAATAACTTTATAATTTTCATACCTCGTTTAAAGATGCATAATCAAAATCCCCTATGGAACGAACCGTACCTGAGGTATTCGCCACGTCAAACCGGGCACTTTTGAAACATCATTTTTCATTTTTTTTTAAACTTGCTGACATATTCTACAGATAAAAATATGAGACGCGTGTTTCATGAAAAAAAATTTGTTTTGTGAAATTATATTTACGCGTGTAAGTTGTAAAAATTCATAAAAAAACGTCGCTCATGCGAATATTCAAATTATTATTTCGTCAAAATCATTTATAGTCGTACAAAAAAAAAAATCAAATTCCATTTGTTTACGATTTTAATTATCGCATACATTATTCATCATCTACTCGATTATACATACTTATTTAGATTTAACTCGGTGTTTACGATAGAAGTAATTATCGATAATTTGCTCTCACCAGATAGAGTATATGTATTTTGCATAATTTGCATTAGTAAAAAAAACCTTCTTTCATTCATTTTCAAAAACCTTCTTTCAACCTTCCGATGAGTTTTAAAGTCTTCCAAATAAAGGAAAATTTTCCAGTGAAACAATACTACTAAGGTTTGAAATACTACGTTCAGCTGATTCTTAAGATCCATTCACATCAAGATTTTGTTGCTTTCCGCTGAGCCGTATTGCACTTTAAAGTGAAAAATACATGAGGTCCATTCACATTGTCGAAGAGATTCTTCTCTGACGTTTGCACTCATGATCTTCGCTTTTTTCTCTTTTCAACGTCCGAACATATATCTCGTTTTAAGTGCAACAATTTCTGGAAATTTCAAACAATTCAGATAAACAAACCTATTTGTTGGAAAGGAAGGCATAAAAAGTGCAAAAAGTTCAGCTATTTTAGGAGACCATTCTAACCTATTCTAACCTGCAACATGCCACGCGACGTTGTATTGTTTATCGAGGAGGGGATTCTCGGCGGACGAGGGACTTGGTGCCGAGGGAGATTCGCTCGTGCGAGCGCGTGTAGTCTCACTGGCGATGTAAATTTTTGAAAATGACCAACGCCGAGGTGCTACAGCTAGACGTGTGGAAGGGCGACTGGGGCCTACCGTCGGTTGATGTGGAATGTTTGCAAGTTCTGGTGCGTCGAGTCGATGAGTATAGGTTATAGCACGCGCACGCTGATTAATTTCGACGGTCCCCTTTTTCTCGTATTCACAGAATTCATTGAGTGCGACACGTGCGAGAACCGTCTAGTATCGTTCCATGTGGATTCTTCGGCCAACTTAAGAATCTTTGAAAAACGTCGGAGTACCTGCGGCTTCGGAGCGATTATCCTAATTGAAAATAAAACTCTTGGCGAATTTTATCTTTAAAAAAAAAGCAGATGATAGAGCGATATTCCCTGGAAAATTTTTATTGAATTTTAACAGAATTTTCATTCAAAATTTACTTACAAAGTATGTAATACTATGGTTGGTCAAAGAAGTCATTGAAAGGATACTTGCTGCCTTAGAAATATATTGAATAATAATAAGATGTGTGTAGAGATATCAGGATGTAAAGTATTAGCTGGATATGACACTAATAAAATGAAAACCAAAAAGATATGAAACATACCTAACTGCTTCATTATATCTAAGTTGACTTGTTGAAAGCTGAGTGTTAATTGTATTTTAGTAGCTATCCCCAAATCATAATGATCTGTATATTCTCTCTATCAGAAATTATAATTATTTTATTATTGAAGATTCAATGCCTATTAATCTATTCATGTCTTAATTTATCTAATAATAATGTAACATCCTGATGATATAACAGGTTGTGATTTATTTCCTAATACAGTATCATGTTATTTGTAGGCATATGCCAAATTCAGTGGAGTACCTTTAAAAATAAATCTAGCAAGCAATCCGTTTAGAACACCAAACGGTCGATTACCTTTGCTTAAGGCTGGTCTACGTACTTTGGATACAGTTAAAGATATATTGCCCTTTTTTAGAGCAAAACATTATAATTCTGACTATACTTTAAATGATAAGCAATGCGCAGACATCATGGCTTATGATGCTCTGCTTAAGGAAAAGTTGTATCCAGCCTTCCAATTTATATGGTATGAGGTATAGAAACGCATATTAGAATAAAATGCAACTCATTGCTTATGAAATTTCAATATTATTAAAATTAATTTATTCATAACAGAAAGATTGAGAAATTTGTTATTAGTTCTATTAAAAATCTAATTAAATCTATTTAAAAAATACTTATTCATCCTTGTTATTGCTGAAAATTTTTTTAAGAAATTGATGTCATCTTCAAAATTTAAAACTATTATTGTTTATATTTAAAATATATTTAGTTCATTAAATTCTACAGAATTTTCTTAGCACTTTAAATATTATTAAGAAAAAAAATTGTCAAAAACTTTCAGATACTATTTAAGAAAAGCTGGTTTTTTTTTAATATGCAAAGCAAAATTCATAATTACAAATGGCTAGTAATTTGTGTCTAAATAATAATAATAATAAAATAAATGAATTATTTGTCTCAAATAACAATATTAAAACATCTTTAAGCATGAGATGCATATTATTCTGATCATTGCATACATGTTTGTTCAGTCCTCTGGTTTTGCACAAATTATATTAATAGCTTTGCATTAGGAAGTACATTTTAGTGTAATTAGAGCAAGATCATAGCCTTTGTAATTATAGTACATATAACATAAGACATAACGTTTGAATTATTTTTAGGTGGATAGATAAGAAAAATCTAGATGAATTAGTTAGACCGTGGTACTGCAAAGCACTGCCTTTTCCGTTCAATTTCTATTACCCAGGAAAATTTGAGCGGCAAGCACATGCTTTGATGCAAAGTTTATATCCTCTGGAAGATAATATAAATGTTATAGAAAATGAGGTATGTGTAACATACAGAATAATTTAAAATATATTAAATCCATAGGGAGAAGATATTTATATAACGAGAGAAAATGTAATGTTTAAATGCAAAAAAAAACTTATTTTGATTAACTTTAAGCATCTATGTAATAACAGGTGTATTCGGAAGCACAAAAATGTTTAACGTTATTATCTATAAGGCTTGGAGATAGAGATTTCTTTTGTGGACAGCAGCCTAGCACAATAGATGCCGTTATATATTCATATCTGGCACCATTGCTCAAGGCTCCATTACCAAATCCAGCCTTACAAAATCATCTAAAAGCCTGTACAAATCTAGTGAAATATGTGTCGCGTATATCACAGAGGTATTTTGAAGAAGAATATCAGACTTATGAGAAGCTAAGGGCTGAAAAAAATACCGAGAGATTAAGAAGAGATTCTGAAACTGAATTTCCCAATAAAAGAAGAAATCAGATCCTTGCTGCGCTTGCTGCTACAATAACAATGACAGGATATGCGTTATTCACTGGTATTGTAGAGGTAAGTTTCGTTTATACAGAGAAAACAAATACGTAGAATGTATATCGTAGATTTACGGAGAATTTTCGCAATAGAATTGTTGGATATTAATTGGTTTTCCTCTTTTTATCTTTATTTTGAGAACATTAATATGAATTGTCTTTCTCACAATAAGTCAATATATTATGTATTTATTCATTTTCATAAATATTGTAACAAATTTTTGCATGAGGAAATTTCTTTTTATATAACAAAAATTTCTATATTTTTACTTAAATTAGATATTTTGTACAGCTAAATGTAATGTTTATAATCAATTTAGTAAAATATATCTGTAATATAGAGAAAGCATAAAATGCAATACATCTTTCTAAAAAAGAAACAGTATAAATGCTGAAGTTGAAGCTACAAGTAGCTTTATTTGTAGGTATATTTGTTAAGAGGCAGAAAATTTATTAACATTCCTAAGAAGAAAAGAAAACGTGAGTATTAGTTGCACATTGATAATATATTTTTACTTGGAAATTAACCAATTAATATCAACTTTTATATAGAATAAATACATTTTTGCTTCTTACCGCATATATTTTAAAAGATTGCGATAAGTTGATATATTTGCAATTAAAGTGGCTAAATAGCTTATTTTTATTTAGTCTCTCTAAAATGGAAAAATTACATTCCTGTAAATAACATGGGAGGAGAGAGATTTAAATATTCTAACATTAGATGTAGAATTATATTATAAAATATTTTAAAATTTAATGTAGACTTTTTAATACGTTTAATAAGAACCTTAAATGTTTTATATACATATTAATAATTAATTTTGATGTATCAAAAAGTAGTACAAGTAAAAAATTTAAGAATTATTCTTTAATAAAATGTTTAGAAATTAATAGAGATAATTTTTTAAGATAATAAATAATTAAGAAAGTATAAAACTCTAAAAAAAAAAAATATTAATAAAATTTTTCATTTAGCTTTAAATAAATTTATTTTTAGATTTTTAATTTGGAATATTCTATTATAAAAATGGTAGTGTAGAATATTCAAATCACAAAATTCAACAGCCAATATATATATATATTTTTTTTTGCTCATTGCAATATTAAAAAAAATAATACATATTTATTAAAGGTACCCACAAAGGATGACGAAATCTCAGATGTACCAATGGAATATATGCTGGATGACGAGGATGATGAATAGCAGTTAGCAAAAAGAAAATTATGTTTTTACGACAAAGATAGGGAATGTAAAATTACTAAATCCACAAGAATATCCTGTTTCATGCAATATTTCGCAGTGATTTACGTTCGAAAGTCTTGGTGTGGAATAGTCTTATATTCCTGACACAGGAAAAAAGAAAGGGAGATATAATGTATAAATAGCAAAATATATAACAAAGTAAATAAATATTTTGGAATATAACATATATCAACATTATTAATTTTTTCCGATTTTATATCGCATTAAAATACCACTCGTGGCATGGTGCACTTCTTCCGCGAAACTTTTAAAATTGTGTATGGTGGTACCACCTAGAATAATTTTTATACCCGGATTTTGTTTATTTAAATTATAAACAGCCAAACTTTCTTCATAAGTTGTACCTCCAATCATGAATATTATTGTATCTTGAGGTCTATAAAAATGGGACAATAATATGTTGTATATAATTTATATTTAATATGCATTTGTATGTAATTTTCTATTTAATTTATAAGTAATTTACCTTCGTGACATTATCATGTTACCGAGATATGGAAATGCCTGCGTACTTAATCTTCCTTTGATCAAGTCCTCTAACGTTTCATTTATTAAAGGACAGTGTTGCGTGTATATATTATCTACTCCACTTAATCCTTTGAATAATTTTTTGGTTATTTTAGCAACTGCTTCTCTATCAAATAAATTACTCTGTCTTGTGTTAACACCACTATATTCTAGTATATTATATACAAGCTGGAAATATGTTAGATTTTTATATTATGTATGTATACATATTTTTCTCAAAAATCACACATCAGTTATACATAAATACCTTAATATATTTGTCTGAAACATTCCTCTTCTTAAGTAATTCTACTAAACCATTTATATCATTGCTCGCATATTTTTCATAATGCAGCGCATAAAGCATGACGAGTCGAACAGTATCCACATCTCGTATCTTTTGATTGCTGATAAGTGCTTTTATCTTCTGCAGCTGTAAACAGGACGATAAAAAAAATATATATATACATCTCAAAGAGATACATAGAAAATTTTTTTTAATTGTTTTTTGAAGATATTACTTGCGAGGAATGATCGGTTTGGCAACTCAGTTCTTGTTCCAATTCTGATACTTCTAACAAATTGTGTTTTTCCACAAGAGATGAAAGCTCTCCGACTACTGTAACATGTTTCGATACGGTACCAGAAAGTTTCTTGAAAAGCGGATACGTTTCTACGAAGTGCTTCATATCAGCTATGCTTTCAACCTTTTGATGCTTTTTTGCTTTCTTTTGAAATTCATCCATTAATTCTTTTATCGTTTGTCCTATTTCTCCAAAGTTTAGATACAAGTTCTGCTCAAGAATATATTCTTTTAACATAAAAAAATCTTTCATAAAAAATAAAGTTTCGAAAATTATTTAAAAAATCAAAATTATACATAAAATATCATTCAAAAGTATAACTTTTATTAATTTATATCTACTTCTAGTTAAGCTAACTATCTGTTAGTATTTCAAATATAAATGCACATATAAAATCAAATGAAAAATGTTCTTACATTTGCATAAAAGTCATCATGTTCTGCACTTAGAACAACTTCTTTCAATTCTTTTGAAATGCCTTTTACGTGAGATAAGTTGACTCGATTATTATTAATCGTTAATAATTCGTGTACCATTGCTTGATATGTCCACTGATTCAATAACGGAGTGACAGGATCATCTCTCCTATCAATTATCAGAAGGAGAGGATTAGATTCCTGTCTGAATTCAAAAGAATTCGATTCTTTACTGAGCACTTCTCTTATCTTCTCTGCTAATCTTTTTGCCATATCTGAACTGTGTTGATATCTAATATATGGGCATTTTTTTAGTGATAACAAAACAGAAGTAATTCCTTGGACAGTTCTGTGTAAATGTACTGGATCCCAAGTCAATCCTTTAATTGTAACACAAATAAACAATATGAAAAATAGTCTTTGTTAAGTAGTTTTTCTTACATCTATACAAAAACGAGTTTATGAAAAAATATTACCTTCGGAGCAGGCATTTATTCCAAGCGAAAATAAGTGTGGATTAATTGCTAGATAATCCGCATAGAATTCATGCACCTCCCTGACCACCTCTCGCTCGTCGCTTTCTGCCAAAAGTTTTATATCAGCTTTTGCAATAATGTTACTGAAATCTAATTAAGTTTATTAGCAATTATTACTTTTCATTCTTAGCTTATCTTTAATGTCTTATTCAGAACATAATTTTTGTAGGGGCATGATGTTACTTACAAATATAATATACTCCATATTTGGGGTATCTGAGCTCCTTACAAAGCAAATCGATATTTTCCTTTGTCGGTCTTACAAATACTATGCATGTCAAATGTTTCAATGTGTCATTATGCGCAGCGGTGTCTATCCGTTCAAACAGGTATACTTCTTTCATCAATATCTCAGACTGACTGTACAGCAGGCTGACTATACTTGTCTAAAATTTAAAAAAAATGACAGAGGAATGACGATCTTTAAAACCTGTCGATTATTGTTCTGTTTTTTTGCAGCTGTTAATTATATTATTTATACTCTTAAAGTAAAATAGGCATGTAATTAGAGAGAAGGAAAGACAGGAGAGAATTTCAGCTGCGACAAAAAAAAAAAACAAACGTAATTCACAGTACTTATCGTGCCTACCGTTTGTTTATCCATTAGCAGAACTTTCATACCAGGACCGCTGTCTTCTGTCATCCTCGTTATATAAAACTTCAAAGCGGTGACAACGTTCATCTTGACAGTTGAATTAACGCCTCAAATGTGGTTAAAGTATGCACGCGTATACTACGCTAAATTCATATTTTGTTTAAATTTAACGCAATTAGTTGCAGAGATGTATATGAATGGCCGTACACTCTACATAAAACTTACTGGAGTACTATGACGCATACTATAACAAATTTTGACAACACATATATAAAATTCAGATATAAAACGTCGTTCGCAATGGCACAGCTGATCCTCCGATTCTTCGTTGATTGGTCCGTTTCGAACATGGCGAGATTTGTCGCGTGACGTCATTCTGATTGGACTCCGATTGATCAAGTTCTTGTTAATTTAATCAGCGCGATGAAGTATCAAGTAATGCCTATATTATTCTGTTTTTTTAGCTAAATTGAATTGGTCATTTTTTTTTGTCAAAGAAGAGAAAAGTAGAAAACATGAATCTGCAAGAAGTTAACTGAAAAGAACAAACTTTTTATCCAGACAGAAAAATCGTAAAATAAAAAAATGACATCAATTGTAGTTTAAACATTATTTAAAAATTCATTAATGAATCAAGATGATGGCATTAATTTGATAAAAAATGGCATTATTATAAATGCTTTCTTTCTCTTTTTTCTTCAAAAAATTAAGAAAAAAGGAGGAAAGATGTAAAAATTCAGCAAAAGGAACTTAAGAACTGACCAATCGCCGTCGAATGAGAGGGAAATGATCGACTGTGATTGGTCAAATTCTAATTTCTAATTTTCAATTCTCAAGGCTGATTCCAACACCGATTAACCCTAATCGGGATAAACCGTAATTGGTCAATTGTACTAAACAGCAAACGTGATTGATCAGTCGACGGCCGATGAAATTAACTGGCGTGAAATTAGCCCTCAATCTTCAATGCGTGGTGTGACACGGCCAATCAGAACTCGCGCTGGTAGTAAGTAGTACAAAAAGCCGAAATTGTAGACTACTCGCTAGAGTTCTGATTGGCTGCTGCTTTTTCGCTTTCCGCTTTTTCGTCAAGGTGTGAACGCGCCCTTACGGTCAGTATAAATGCTTCTCATGCCACGGCTCGAAGGCCCCAAAGAGACCGGGCGCTCGTAGGGTCGTAGGTCGCGCGAGCATTGGCGAGCATGCGCGGCCAACCCGAAGGTTGCCGACCATTGTCGACGGTGTTCGTGCGGTATTCATTCGTGCCTTCGTGGACGGAGCGTGGAATAGAGCGAGGCAGATCGTTGCCGTGCGCTTTGCATTTTGCTTTCACGAGTACCGATCGACGCGAGGATTCCGAAATCTTCTTCCCCTCGTCTCTCAACGATGCATCGGTGTGGCTTCTGAAAGTTCTGTAACGACGCGGATAGGATAACATCCTCGCGGATCGTCGGTGTTTTGCTTCCCTTCCCGGTCGGGCGTGCATCCACGCCGATCGTGCGTATCGCGCCACGATGGCTCTCAGCCAAACCAGCGTGGTGAGTAGAAACCAGCGAGCGTTACGTTGAACAAACGTTTACGTATTCCGAATGATTCCCCGAGATAACGAGAAGTTTTCTTCCGGATTGTTCTGAATCTTTCGATATCTATCGGAGAATGCCGCGCGCATCCGGCGGCGTGGTACGCTCGACTGCAGGAGCATCGGGGAAGTCGTACCTTGGACTGAAAAGTCCTAATGATGGATTGCGTTGTTCGACGTGGCTCTCTGATTCTAACATATACAGTCATTTAATATTTAAATATCAAGCTGTATCTTACATGCCACTGTGATATCTCTGAGCAAATGTTCAACTGTTTACATACTTGACTGGTTTAGTCAAATAGAATCTTTTCTTTGATGTAGAATTTTCAGTATCTCTAGCTTGATGGAAATGCTGGAATAAATTAAATTAGGGCCAATATAAATCTACAAGTGTAGATTTCTATGCAATATACGATTATATTTCTTTTATGCTTCTAATATCTTTCTAAGTTGATGTTTGATATTAGAAGATTTTAATAGAAGATACTAATTAGAATATAAAAGATATACAGAAATAATATAATTTGTCCACAAATTTTGTGCTTATATGTACATATATATAAATTCATATTTTAATTTTTTAATAACAATACATTTGTATATTTATGCTTATGTAACATTTAGTGATTAGTATGACTGCTAAAATAAATTATAATTTATGGAAATATATGCTATATAGTGGAGCATATGGACTGAAAAAATTTATTAAATTTTAACGAATGTTTATTCGAATAATACTAACTAAATATTTACTAAATGTAAACACATTTATTTGATATAAGAAATTTAATGTGATTTAATAATTACTTTTTTTATTAAGTAAATATTTACTATAAGTAAATGTTTAATGCTAAAAATATGTATTAAAATTTAATAAATTTTTTTTCAGTGTATATATATTTTTAATATTCTTGCAACATCAAAAGAATACTACATAAATCGTTTTATACACAGCTGAAATTGTACAACACTGTGATAGAAGATGTAATATCGGGAGTACGAGAGTCATTTATAGACGAAGGTGTAGATGAGCAGGTTTTACTAGAGCTCAAGCAAATATGGGAAGGAAAACTAATGGCCAGCAAGGCCGTGGAATTAAATCCAGATCCACCAGAGCCGCAAGTTCCTCAAATCAATACGCACAAAGCTGTGTCTGTCAATAAAGGTACGCATTGATAGTAGATATTGTTACTTTTGACAACTTTGAAAATTCAAAATTTTGAAATTAATTCTGAATATTAAGAAGTTTGAAGTGCTTTGAAAACTTTAGTGTTGAAAGTTAACTTCGACAATTTGAATTCTTTTAAGACTTCAAATCTTCAAAGTTGTAAAAAATAATAACTTTAATTGATAGGTTGAACATATAATTAACAAACGATTTATTACAGTGAATTGCAATATAATTTATACAAGGTGATTCACTGCTATTAAGTGTAGAACATTCAGTAATGGTGATGCATTTTATATGACTAGATTATTGCTATAAATTTGATGTTGTGTGAACAGCTAATGTAGGAAATCATTTTGTACAACCATCTGCTGGAAATACAGTACCGCAAACGCAACCTCAACAACAATCGCAACAGCAACAACAGCAGCAAGTACAAGCACAGCCACAGCAACCCTCGCAACCTCAACAACACACGCATCCTTCCACGGGAACAACATTGCAGCAACAGCAGCAACATTCGACAACGCCGTCGGTGCAACAAATGACCGCTTCAGCTGTGCTTAATCGACAAGTACCCATACAAATCACCTTACCTCCACAAGCTGGCGTGCCGGATGGACCACAACGTATTTTAAGCATACAAGTTCCTGCATCTGCTCTTCAAGGTGAAACTTTTTCTGTGTTTTATTAAAACCAACTTGTGTAATACAAATTGATTAAACTTTTTTGTATATGTCATATTTTGTTAGATATAATTTTTATTGTGCAAATCTCCATAAAATTTTGTATGATAAAAATATATTTACATCTATATTGTAATATGAATATACAGATATATTTATAAAGGAGCACGGCAGTGTCTCACACCATGTCTTAGCGCCAAGACGCTACCGTGTCTCTAGATATTGTTATTGTAATGTTTATTATTGTAATTTATTTTGAGGCTTATTCTTTTTAGCTGAACTTCCTGTACAGCTCGTCTCTCCTCCTTTTCTCTCTACGTTGGAAAAAAAAAGAGAAAAAATAAAGTACAAAGTTCAGTTAAAAAGAATAGGGAGTTTATTTTGTAAAAAAATCTTTTGTAAACACACATGTACACATGTCAACTATTTATCTATATAAATAAAAAGATTATCTGTTTTTCTTTTCAGCAAACCAGCTGCATACAATTTTAACAGGTCCGGTAATTTCCGCCGCTATGGGTCTTCCAGCAAATTTAGCTTCAACTTTGTTGCAACAGCATGTGAATTCTACACTGCAAGGACAAGCAGCATTAACTCCATTACAAGTGAATCAGCCTCTTCAAGTGGTTACACAAAGTACAAACAGTGTCGTTACACAAAGGCCACCTCAAAATCAGGTAGAGTGAATATTTAATCTATGCAGACTAAGAGAACATAATGGAAAAGATAAGATAATAGATAAGTGCTTACACGTACACATATATGTATATTATATAGGTAACACACCATACATTATTCATTTTTCCAGCAGCAAAATAATATAAATCAGTTAGATGGAGGAGTCGGTGATTCTACTGACGATGACGATGAAGAGGAAGAAGAGGATAACGATGATGATGATGAGGATATGGATGAGAAAGAGGAGGAAGAAAATGATGAGGCTGCGGCTCGTGAAGAGGTTAATATTTATAAATAAATTTTATTTAACAGATTGAAGGACTCTTCCTATACAAAATAAATAACAATAAATAAAGGGCAAAGTAAGAGTTAAACACATTTCTTTAAAAAAAGTCATACAATTAAAAGAATAAATTACAAATAGAGAAAAGTAAAATTGAAAAAATATATAATAAAATAAAAACTCAGTTTAAATACAAATAAATTACCTAATTTCGGATTGAGCCCTCTTCAGACATTAACTTATCGAAAAAATCGCAGTACAAAATTAATTATCGCAAATGTTCGCATATTCACTATATTCACAGTTCACAAATAAATTTCACATAAGTTGAGTGATTATCTCACAAGAGAATTATTTGTATTAGGACCCCCTTAATTCCGAAGATGATGTTACGGATGACGATCCTGCTGATCTCTTCGACACCGATAATGTAGTCGTCTGCCAGTACGATAAGGTACAAGATAGTGATTTATGTCTAAGTTTACGATAAAGTTTATGTAATACTCTACATTACGATGTTTCAACTCGGAGTCACATATGATAACGTTTTATTTTCAGATTACAAGGAGTCGGAATAAATGGAAATTTTATTTGAAGGACGGTATAATGAATCTGTCTGGAAAAGATTATGTGTTCCAAAAAGCAAATGGGGACGCTGAATGGTAACTCTTAAGTGCGTTGTGAATATCGTGTTGCCCACAGTAAGCTCGACTCAGGGACACTGCGTATAAAGGCAACTTGATGATTGTGTTCACATGAAATCGCGTTATGACAGATAACGATAATCTCTACGATAATTCTTCTATCGATTGCGTGATGCTGCCGCAGACAAGAAAACAACAGTATAGGGAAACAATGATGAACACGTTATTAGAAATATCATATTATTAATTTTGTGTTATATTTTTAGCCCTCTGAATAGCAGGATATTCGAGATATTTAGACACGCCAATTCTACTTGTTGAAACTAAATAAGTCACAAACGTTAAAAATATATTAGGTTTTATTTTTTTATTCTGTTGCTATTAAGCAGTCTTGAATATTCTATATTAATATATTGATTACATTTTTCCTTCGAATTACATTTTTTTAAATTTAGGAAAATTCAATACCGAAAGTCAAGAGGAGCATAGGGGGCTAATACATACGATTTTTATCAGGCAAACGTTACTTTTCAGTTACTTTGTCATTACTTTCTATAGTAAACAATTTGATGACGACGTTGTAATTTTTTATGACAGTAATGCTAACTAACTAAATACTAAGGTTGTGCTATGATTAGAAAAATCATTTTTAAAAGTGATTTACGTGTTACTAAAAAATCATTATGTGTTACTAAAAAAAAACTAACAAAGTAACGAGTAATGCGTTACAAATCAATGGAAAAAGTTTATTAGTTTTTTTCAATAATGAATGATTTTTTCAATCCGTTACAAGTAACAATTTATTTTTCTAACTTTGATGTTACCATTATCATAAAAAATTCACAATGTCATTATTGTAACAAGGTAACGATCAACAAAGTAACGACGTTACAAGTAACTACTAACCTTGATTTTTATATAGTGCAAATTACGAATATATAAGTTTTAAAAAATTGTATAAGAATCTCTCCTACTGTTAGTCATACGTTAGTGGAAACTTGCTTGTGGGCGCCGAAATTCTTTCTAAAACAATCCACGACAGATTAGTTAGCTTTTTCTAGCAAATGAATGAACTTTATTGGAGCGGGAGTACGTTATGTATATATATTGACTGAATGATTATATATGTATGTATGTATATATATTGGTATGTATATATACATATACACACATTGGCGAAAGCACCATATCGATTAGTGGATCTAGAGCCACATCACGGATAATGAATGTGAAAATTGTGTACTCTACTGATATATACATAATATATATTAATATACATATATATTTTGAAATCCTCAATTATGAACTTTTTCATGTGAAAGGAAGTTGTAGACTTCCATTTTCTATTTGTGATGATCTAAAAACAGTACGATATCGTATATATGTTTGAGTTGAAGGATTTTAAAGGATTGCAAAACCACCGTTCATATATGTGATTTGGAACAATAAATGTGTCTTATTACTGTTACCAGAATTGACAAATTCATTTAGCAGAAGGAATTAAGGACATTTCAGAATTTAAGAGATCTATTATCGATGTTTCATTGAGAAAGTTTAAATTGCTCTGTAAGTGATAAAACTTAATTTTTGTTTTATTCAAAATCTTTAGAATAATTTAATATTGTTAAGTGTTGTAACATATTTTCCATTTTATTTTTAGATTTTTATCTAATAGCAATTATCTATTTGGAATTATGTTAAAAAATTATATTAACTAACTTTCAGAACAATTTATCATTAAATAAGTTATAAAATTCGTGAATTAGCAAATTTAATTATTACACGCGCTAAAGTTCAAACAAAATCAGTGTGTAAAAATTTATTCTTAAATTATGATTTGTAAGTGGAGATTAATGTTTTATTAATTTAAAATAATTGTGTAATTGGAGAACAATATAAACAAATTTCTTCAAAACTGACAATGTGATTATAAATATGCCAAAATAGTGGTGCAATTTTTGTATTGTATTGTATCACTCTATGCCGAAGATTCTTCGAATAATGACATTTTTTAATCTAGGTTATTTATTTAAAAAGTTTGGCCTTTAAATCTCTCTAATCTCTTGAGATTATCAAAAAGGCGTATAATTATATTTAATTAAAATTTTGGCAAAAATCAATATATCTTGTAAAATATGAAAATATATAGGTGCTATATATTATATAGGTGCTATTATGGTATCTACGTATTATTCTCCACATATATTCCAAGTTCAATTAAATTTCTTAGAATTTGGAAAATAAATATTTCACAAGAAAACTGTTCACTATAAATGTGCATGTATGCGTGTGTGCGCATGTTAGTTTAAAAACTTTCGGGCAATCGTAATTTCTTTAACGATGAGCATTTAATAGTCCATAATTATATTCTTTATTTTGTCTCGTATTATATTTAGTGTTATATATAGACGTTTAAATCGATGCATGCCTATCTAAATTTTAGGGATTGTATCTAATTAGATTTTGTTTGATACAATTTTTGGTTTACAGGCAGTTTAATGGTAAAACATTTTATTTCATTAAATTCCTTTATGTAGTAATGTTTTCTCAATAAATTACGGATAAGAGTCCATTTTCATTAGACTCTTCATAAACATAAAATATAAATATTTTTTACAACCTATATCTTTCAACATATATCATATCGAATTTTATAAATTTTATTTAAAACGCTATAAATAAGAAACATTCTCAACTTTGAAGAATTAGGATTGTAAAATCTCATATTCAATATCTTAAATTTTCATTTGCGAAAAAAATGTGCCAATATATATACACACATAATTTTTTAAATTACCTCCATTATAAAATATTACATGAGGCTAGTATAAAAAGTAGTTATACAATCAAAATATTACAAAACGTACAAAATTTTAATTGCACACGTGTTTATATTTCGGCACATTTCTATCGGATTTTTTAATTCGGTAACAAAAAAGGCAGACTGTTTTATTAATTAAAACAATTCAATTTTTTATCACATATTGAAGTCTATGTAGATTAAAAATTACATATACGTTTAGATATAGGATTATATATTTTGGATTTATATAAACTCTAACCGTTGATTTTTTCGATGTCGAATATATCATGGAGATTTTGCACTTTCGAACAATCTCATATTTTGAAATAATCTATTATATCCTACATAATATTGCAGCTAATTTTTATGCTATCTACCTGATTTCCGAGTACAAACGCATTTTTATTGCCCTGTGCTTCCTTTTACATATAAGATCGTGACACTATATTGTAAATATTTAAAGAGAGCTTGTGACATGTAATTTATCAATTCTTCTTGTTTTATGAGTAAGCAGTTACAATTAATCAATTAATTAATTGTGAACGAAAAATTATAAAATTTCGGATCAACTCTTACTAACGTGTGTCTTTGAGATGTTTAAATATATATTATTAACATTATAATTTCATAAATGTGCGATTATGTTAATTGACTTTTTTATATTTAAATAGAAAAGCAGTTTTTGTATTTAAAATTTATTATTGATATACTGAAGATTACCAAATTTGGGCCGAAACATTTATGTAGAATTTTGTATCATTAACTGAAGATTTTTAATATATGACTTCACTACGAAAATCTAGCGTAACATATGCTCGTTATCACTATTTTACAAAATTTGGCATTAAGTTTTTAAGTGTTCGACGAGCATGAATGTTATTGCAACTAAATGCAAATGTGAGATCGAAATATCCGCATAAATATTCCGCATTTGCGGAAATTTATTTTAAAAAAATGTTGACGCACGTATGTGAAACAATTCGCATTTTTGTCTCTTTTTTTAAAATTAAATATCGAATTAAATATCGCTTTAAATTTATTTAATATGTACAAATATATTTTTAATATGTACAAATACGAATGTTACAAACTCCTCTTTATTTGGATAACTTAATATATAAAAAGATAATATATTACTGTAAAATCAAAATAACAAAATTGTATTTTATGGTAATTTGTGAGCTTTTCCTCAATTGAAATAAATCATTAAGTGTCAAGTAAAAATGTCGGTTATCGTAATTTAATCATATATCAACATATTGGAAAAGATTCACTGTGCTTTGTTTGATACCTAGTAAATATGGCGCGTTTTATAATATTACTTTATATCAGTCATGTCCTATAAAGATATAGTAGGCCATATATTTAAGGTAGACCATATAGGTCTGTTCTTTTTGGCTGAACTTTTGCACTAGTTTTTCTTTCTTTCTTTTCTCTCTAGAAGAAATAAAGAGGAAGAAAGATGAACTGGTGCAAAAGTTCAGTCAAAAAGAACAGGCCTAATATCACTTTGCGACTATTTGAATGATTTAGATCGAGATCTTTCAATTAATTTCGACTAAAGTAGATCGTCTTTAATATTATTCTCAGAGAAGTCAGTACTTTGTTGGCCAATGCTAGGTTCTACAGTATTCATCTGTTCGTCAGAAGCGGTCGCATTTTGCATGGAAGTTGGAATTACCGTAGATGTAATAACATTTCCATTGCTTTCCGATTCTGGTTTTCTCTTCAACTGTCCGACTATAGTTACATAATTAGCAGGTACCAAACCGACATTTCTATTATCGGTGGCTATCCACCAACCTGGTATGCTTTTAGATTGCAGGGAACGCGGCGCCAACCATATTTTTTGACCAGTTCTCAAGCTCAATTCCTCATTCGAAACTGCCATGAAATCGTACATTGCTGTTGCCACACATACTGGATCCTCGCATTTCACCCATTCTTTCGGATCGTTAACTGTAAATTTACCAATATATAAAGTATCATTTATCTTAAAGATAGGAATTACAGTAAGAAAAAATTAGTTTATATACGAAATTGCATTTTATTTTTGTAAAATTTTTATAAAAATTATTTGACGCATAAAATTTTTCTAAGCATAAAGTTTAGCGACGGAAGACATAGATCGTTATATGTAAAAATTTATCACGTGTTTATTTAGATTTAAAATGTCCTTAAAAATGCAAAAACAATTACCTTTTATTTGATTTTGCCTTATATTACTCGTTATCTTGTGAATTAGATATGGAATAGCGACAAACACGCCGAGGAGTAAAATATTCATCCAAGGAGAAATCCTTTCGTTCGTCGCCGTCGTTATCGGTGTTTGTTCTCCATTTGTTAATTGTGCTGATTGCTGCCACAATTCTTCGACGACAGCATTTTGCGTTTGAAGACCTAGGAATAGAATCATTATTAAACGATAATAAATTATGTAAGTAGATATAAAAGTTCTGATTATATAAAAACCAAACCTACCAAGCGTAAATAAAATCCTTCTGTAGATCCATTTCATGACACGGATTAAAGCAAATGTGCTTAATAACTGGCCAATTGTTGACCGCAATCTACCGATATTATCTGCTACGCTTAAAATCGCACGGAAGGAATTTGTCAATGCGAAATATGTTGATTCCAGTAACATTGTGATGGATGAAAATGTATGTAATACGGTCTCCACTACACGAAAAGTCGATCTTGTGCTCTCCTCTGCATATTGTTGAAACCTGCAATATAAAAAGCCAACTCTTTAATGTTCTATCAATTATTCCTATCCATGCAATTTAATTTTAATCTCGGTTTAATTTACTCTATCTTTTTCTCATTCTCAAGCTGGTATTCAGAGACAGATCTAATATTTAAGGCTGTTCTAAATACAGTCTCAAGACAATCATAAG